CAATTCCCTCAACGCCCCATGCCATAACCCTAAGTAACTATTCATGTAGTCACTATCCCTGTAGCTTTACCTGTTTGATTTCTTGACTGTTTCTTCCATGAGCGTTGATTGTGGATCCAAGCAAAATGAAATCCTGAACAACTTTAAATGTTTCTCCGTTTATCATGATGTTAACTGCTGGTCTAGCTGTGAGGATTTTGGTTTTCCTTCTACTCCACACTGAAGACTGACGCTTGATGTTCATCAGCAAGTCTCTCTTTCAGGAGGCGAGGCGATGGTGTCCGCACGTTGCAGGTTGTCAGTAAGCCTTTCTCTAATCCTGATACCCATTCTTCTTCAAGTCCAGCTTCTTGGATTATGCATACAGGTTGAATAAATATGGTGTTGGGATGCACCTTTTCCTGATTCTAAGCCACGGAGTATTGCTCTTTTCAAATGGCTGACACTTGGTCCACGTCCTATGAAGTATTCTGGAATTCCCATTCTTCTCAGTGTTGGTATCCCATATTCCACATCTTCTGAATTCAGCTTGTGTTTCTGACAGCTCCCAGTTGATGTACTGTTGACATAGTTGTTTTGTGTTTTTTTAAATATATATTTATGCTGAAATAGTTTTGGAATGATGTTCAACTTACAGCACCCTCAGAGGACAGGAAGAATGGTCCCAGGCGGCAGTCTGCACCAGAGCACGCTGCCCGGTCTTTTCGTTCTTGGAGCTGCTGGTGGGTTCAAACCACTGAGCTTTGTTAGCAGCCAAGTGCTTACTTAACCATTGTACCACTGGGCTTCTCCTTGTTGTGCTTAAGAACCTTCAAAGACATCTCGATGCTCTGGGAGGGTTGGGGAGGAAGAAAAAGCCAGATCCTTTCACCTGGCATGCGAAGCTCTTCAGCTCAGGCTCCATGTCTTTCTTCCAGCTCAGCCCTCTACTCTAGTAGTGAGACGGTGGCAAAGTTTCTCCCCCTTTGTGCCTTTGTTTTTTCACCAAGGAAAGTTGGTGGGCAAAGTTCCTTTTGAACGTGAGATACCCCTCATCCATTTATTGTAAATGCCTGCCCTCGGGGAAAATCCTTGGGTCAGTCAGGCTGACCTGTTAACTCCAGGTCTGGCTGTCAGTGCAGCTCACTCTGTTTCCGTGGTCCCAATCCAAGGGGACTTGCCAGCCTCCTTTCCCAGTCTTCCCATCACGACACCTGGCCATCATGAGTCTGTCTACTGTCTTCAGAACTATTCTCCCTCCCCTCCAGAGGGAACCACTCTTAGGTAGGTTGCTTGCATCCTCAGCTATATACTTTGAGTAATCCCACTCTCGTCAAAAGTCTGTGCGTTTGAAATTTACATTGACATTATTGGGCAAGAGCATTCATTTGGTGTCTGTTATTTCTGGCATCAGCCCCTGGGAAGGCACGGTATTTAGTCGATTGCTCCCCAACCCCTCAGTTGGCATCGATCCTCAGGCCTGTCTTCCCCGGGGTCAGCAGGTCTTCACATTCCGATGACCTGTTCATCTTGGGCGAGACCTGAGACTAAAGAATTCCTCTCAGAAACCTACAGGGGCTCTGTCCCACAGGGTCGCCATGAACCGGATGGACTAGAGGGCAGGTCTTTGACCTTTACCCAGGGTGGGCTTGCAGCCCTGGGTTGTGATGGGGGAAAGAAGGCACACTCCTCTGTGCTCTGCTTTGGGATGCCCGCTGCCGCTGCCCTTCTTCTCTGGATCTCACCCACTCCCGTCGGGAGCCAACCACTTTCATGATCTCAGGATTTCTGTTTTTAGATTTGTGTTGAGCACTGTCTGCCTCCCTCAGGCCTCTGTGGTCAGGATAGGGGCCTTTGTCTTCTTGGGAACAGAAGACCCTTCCGCTGGGAGCAGTGTTTCCTCTGGAACCTGGCCCGATTTCCCTCTCACTTCCCAGCTACTCTTCCTTTATTTACCACCCTCCCTCCTAGCGGGCCCCCCCCTCCGCTAAACTACTCATGAGACCCTGCCTTCTGCTGGCTACTCTCAGGGCTGCCTCCCCCATGATGCTGTCAGCTCCTTTAAGATCAGAACTGTGACTTGAACCTTTGGAGAACGCCAGAGCTCACCTGGCACACAGTAGGTACTGTCGCTTGTTGCCCTTGACAAAGCATGGGCTCATGTCCACCACAGACAACAGAGCGTTGCCTCATCCTGCGGTGGCCTCAAGATCGTGGGTTTGCTCCAGCCCACAGCGGCAGCCACCGTCTTTCACGTGCCTTCCATCTAACTCGGTGTGTGTGTGTGTGAGAGAGAGAGAGAGCTCTTCTAGCACCGTGTCAGATAATGTCTTGTGACTTACCGGGTTTTCACTGGCTAATGTTTGCAGCAGGGCTCCAGACCTTTAGTCCTGCTCTTAGTCTAGATATTCCATTGAAACCTATCCACTGTGCTGACAGATCCTGCTGGGATTTGAGATCCAGGTGGCATGGCTTCCTCTGTCACAGCAACACAGAAGCCACTGCAGTGTGTTTACCAGGCACCTAAAGGCTGCTGGATGCACATGGACTTTCCTTAAGAGAACTCCCTTTCATATGACTGTAGTTGTCTTTTTCTAACAATTTCCCCCGCGTTCCAAAAAGTCCCGATTTTTTTGAAAGAATGCACGACAAGCTAGGATATACTGTTTTTGGCTGCCATATGGCTATTTTGCCAGGATGAGTTTTATCAATGGTGTCCCACTTTACCAATGTTAAAATCTGGTCACCTTACCTTAACCCCACAGCAGTGCTTAGATTTCATGCAGTTCAATCCCTCAGTCCTTTGCGACCGACTGAAAGTTCTGGAGGGCATGTCTGTTACCTGTGAAGCCCCACTTCATTCTACTGCTGTCTGCGATCAATAAAACACCTCGGCTTTCCTCCCCCCCGCAAAACTGATTTAGATCCAAATTTATGAAATGAGAAATTGTGTTCTTCATCTGATTCTAAGCGCACCATGTGCACCTGTTCCTATTCTTTTCCCTATACCCCGGAGCCCTCTGATGGGCCAACTTCCTCCGGGCCGGCTGGCCCTGCCTTTCCATACCCAGAACATATGCCTTTTCTACTTTCTGGAAAAGTGACTGGATCCGGGTCCAAAGACTAGCTGGGAGACCAGTGAGTCGGCTTCTGCCTTCTCCAAGTTGGCGGAGGGGAGGGCCCTTCCATCTCTCTAGTGGGTGTTGCCATGTCCTAAGGGGAACTTGTTCCCGATGACATGTCCCTGCCCCCCTCCAGGAAGGCCTTTGGGATTGTAGTGGCTGGTCAGAGGGGAACCCCAGGTGTGGAAGGGATACCCCAAACCACCCCACAAGCTGGCTCTAGGAGTCGAGGGCCAGCGCTGGCCAGTGGGTTGCTGGGACCTATCCTCTGGACCAGAGACGGAAGACTGAGTCTAGGGCAGTATCTGGGCCTGGCGATGGTTTGGGGTTGGCTACGTGGAGTTGAAGCCAGGGACTTATGGGCTCCATTTGGAGCCCAGAGTATGAAACCCTCATCCGTGCCTGGTTCTGGACTTGGCTGGGGCAGTGCCCGAGAGCTGCACCAGGTGCAGGCCCTCCTGGACTGACGCTCAGTACATCCTTGGCCCTGGTCAGCACTGTGGCTGGTTGGTTGGTATGAGTGACCCTTAGGCTAGATCGAAGGACCAAGCTGGGTCTGGTCTTTGCTGGAGCACCAGACATCCTGAGAGGCTTGAGGCGACCCGCACTCGGCTCTCAACTCTCTTTAGCCTCTCAACCCACTCCCGCCCCCTCTGCTTGTGCCAGGCCCTGTTGTCAGTGTCCCTATCTCTCAGATGTGGTCAGAGCCCAGCCCTGCAACCTCACTTGCATATTGGAGAGCGGTGGCCCCCTGCTGGTCATGGGGATTAAGCACCCTTCCAGTTGTTGGGGCACAGACCAGTGCTTACCCCTGGGTTGACTGGGTTTGAGGGAAGCACCTGGGCCCACCTCTGAGAATCTATCCGCCTGTCTTTAAAGTCTCATTGCTCCTCCATCCTCACACCCCCACCCCCACCCCCAGGGATATCCACCTCCTCAGTCCCCAAGGCCTGTCTCTTCTAAGCTGACCCTGGAGTTGTGTGACCTTGACCCTGCCTCGGAAGGTCAAGCCTCGGAGGGCTTCCTGTTGTGTGTGTGTGTGTGTGTGTGTGTGTGAGAGAGTGTGTGTGTGTGATGTGTTCCCTGTACTTCCCAGGAGAGCTGTTTCACTCCACACCCGCTTCCCCCTCCCCGCCCTTTCTCCTCCATCTGGTCTCAGCTGAGCATGGAGCCTATTTGCTGGAGGGGCTGGTTGGGCAAAGTGGGTTCCTGGGCCTAAGGCTTCATGGATGATGGCCTAGACCCTTCCAGTCGGGCTCGGATGGAGAGGGAGAAGGGTGTTGGTGTGTTTGACGCAGCCGGTCCCACTCCGACTCCAGACACACAGACCTGAGGCAGTGCTTAGTCTTCTATTGTGGCACAAACCCCACTCCGCGTGAGAGCATCTCTTCGAGTACCAACCCAGGTGAAGTGGGCTGTGGTGGCTGGCAGGGTGTAGGGGAGGGGTCCTGAGTGAGGCTCGTGTTTGTGGCAGTGGCTGGGAAGGGTTCTCAAGCCTGGACACAGGGCCCTATCCGACCCCCTCCATGGCAGCCAGCCCAAAGATGGAGCCTGGACCCCTTCTGGAGCCCCGCCCTGTGTCCTGCCCTTCCGGTGCGTCCCTGCAAGGCTGTGCGGGCGACCTCTGGGCTCCTGCAGGTGGAGGGAGCACTTTAAGCTGTGTGTTCTCGCCTGGCCCACCTCCATTGGGACCCTCCAAGGAAGGCCTCCCTGAGAGGTCTTCTGGGGCCCTAGGCAAGGGGACGGTACAGGCGAGGAGGTGCGGAGGAGAGCCCGGGGCCTGGGGAGGGCACGGTGGCTTAGTCATCCTTGTCCTTGGCGCCGTGTTTGAGGATGCGGGTGAACTCCACGTAGTTGAAGTTGCCTTTCTTATCGATGGGTGCCTCACGGTACATCTCGTCTACCTCCTCGTCTGTGAAGCGGTCGCCCATGGTGGTGAGCAGCTCCCGCAGGTGGTCCTCGTGGATGAAACCTGTGGGGGACGGATGGAGGGTCCTTGAGAGCCAGGGCTCCGGCTGGGCTGTATGCAGTACCTACTGCCGTTGGCCTTGTGGGAGGGGAGGGGCTGGGAAAACTCGCACCCCTCTCTCCTCTCGTTTCCAAGGAGTGAGCGGAGGGCTCACTGGTCCCAGAGGGAAGGACTGTGCAAAGGACGCTGGGTGACAGCTGCTGTGGGGACCCGGGGCTGAGTGCAGGGCCCCGGGCATGGGGCAAGGCCTGCCTTACTCCAGAGCAAGAGCTTGAAGGTACACCGTCTGAATTTGAAGGCAGAGCACTTGGGCGAGTTTCCTAGCCTCTCAGTGTCCTTTGCTATGAAAGGGGGGGTGAAAAGGTGCCAGCCTGGCAGGGGGCTGTGAATCTAGTCTGGAACATGTTCGTAACTTGCTTGTGAACCCCAAGAACTGTGACCGTTGCCGGCAGTTACTGCCATTATCACTCTGGCTGTGTCCCTGGGGAAGCTAGCTATGAGGCCAGGAGGCCTTTGGAGGGAGAATCCCCAGGTGTGTGTATGTGTGTGTGTGGTTGGTGTGATGGCACGGGGCCATCTGATCTATGAGAGGCCTGAGGCCCAGGGATGGTGCATTGGGACTGCAGGTGAAATTAGATTGGGTGGCAGAAAATGGGAGGGGCTGTTGGGTGGAGCATTTCTGGGAGAGGCCAAGGAGGCAGCAAGGTGACAGGAACGGGAGTGGGTGGTTTCTGTTCTGGTCTGTGGGGACAGAGGGATTGAAGACCCAGGTGGCCCAGCCCCACTGCATCCACCAGCCTGCCCAGGGCCCCAGCCGGGCATCTACCTGAGGCCTCCTCGTCGAAGCAGGCGAAGGCATTGCGGATCACGTCCTCAGGGTCCGTGCCGTTTAACTTCTCCCCAAACATAGTGAGGAACATGGTGAAGTTGATGGGCCCGGGGGCCTCGCTCATCATGCCCTCCAGGTACTCATCCGTGGGGTTCTTCCCTGTGTGGGCGGGCAGAAGTGTCTGCTGTCACCGGGCTGTCTCCTCTCCCCTCTCCTCGTGGGACCCAGAGCCTGAGCACACCCACCTCCCCAAGTGGGCAACAGTTGTGTTGTAGTGTCAAGCACTGAGCCCAGGGGGTTTGGCTTTTTGATGCTCCCAGCTCCTGCCTCCTGGGCCTAGCTCAGGGTTGAGGTCACCATGCCACCAAGGGCCACTCCCTGGTGGCCCTGACCAGGGTGTTGTTCTGGCCTGGACACGGTCAGTGATGCCCTCTGACAACTAGCAGGCCTGCCTGCCGGCTGCTCCCTGTATGTAAGGGGCTCTCCCACATCCCACTCTCATCACTGTGAGCCCAGCCTCTCCTGAGGCTCATTCATACAGGGGAGGCCTCTGCTCCGCGTCACCCAGTGAATGCAGAGCGGGGCCCACCTTTGAACACAGACAACCTGACTATAGATTATTCCAGGCAGAGTGGTGTTCCACGCCTGGGTTTGAATCCGTCCTGTGCCCGTTTCTCCTGCCTCGGAGGAGAGCCGCGAGGAGTAGGATAGGGTGTAAGCACCCCTGGCAGTGCTCGGTGCCGCCCTGTGGTTGCTGCGATCCCCTGTGGCTCCCCATCCCAGCTCTGCCAGAGTGGCTGAGTGACCCTGGACAAATTACTTCACCTCTCTGTTTCCTCGTTTGTAGAGTGAGAATGACTGTCACATCGACCCATTAGAGTGGTTTTGAGATTTAAGATAATACCCTGCAAACGCAGTATTAGGATTTTATTATTTCCCGCTGTTATGTTTGTTTGTTTCGTTTTTAATTATTTTTTTTATCCTGAGGATGATCTTAATCAGAGGCCATGACTGATCTGGGGGGGCCACTGATATGAGTTCCAAGCACGGGTGTGTGTTTCCTTATTGTCCCGTCACAGGCGCTTGGGGCCCAGGGCTGCGTGGTGAGAAGGAGTTCATGTTCCAGCCTCCCCTGAGACCGACCACGAGGCCCCCCCCAGGCTTCCCATGGGATGGCCAGGGAAACAGAGGGTTGGGAGGAGCTGGGATTTCTGGAAGGCGGAGCTTGAGGATGGGGCCACTCTGCTCACATGAACTGGGGCGTGTAGGGCCAGCCCTAAGTCCAGGCCTCTGTCCTCACCTGTGAAGCTGGCAGGGGCCTAAGTGACTATCCCAGCATTCTCCTCAGGAGGATGGCACCTAGGGTGGGGTTAGTGTTGACATGTCAGATCCCCCTCCATGCCGCAGAGCTGTTCAGTCCTCTCCCCTGACACCCTGGGGTGTGTGTGTATGTGTGTGTGTGAGGGCCACGGCCACTTCCCACAGGAAAGGAAATAGCCGGAGAGTGGGGTTCCCCAGCGTGTGAGGACAGAGCCAGGAACTCTGACCTAGGCTGCCTGGCCCCAAAGCCCCGTGGCTTGATGATCACACGTCTCCTCTGCTACCAGCGCCCCCCTGGCCCTGTGCCCCCGGCGCTCTCACCAGGAGCCGGGTTGGGGGGGGATATGGGGGCAGGGCTTTGGCTGGGGAGTAGCATCTGGAAGCTTGGTCTCTGGACCTCAGTTTCCCCAAAGGAGGCTTGGACTTGCTCCCTGTACCCATCAGCTCAAAGGTTGTGATTCCTGAGAGAGGTTCTGAGAGGCGGGGACAGGCGCTCTCTTAAAGAGGGGCCCATATTCCAGACCCCACGTTCCCCATCTGCAGAGTGGAGCGTTGGGCCAGGTGGGTACAGTTCAAGCTGTCTGGAGAGAACAAACAGCACTGCCAAGGGCAACTGTCTGCCCCGCCACAGCGGGCTCCTCTGGTCCATCACTGCTGTGTGACACGGTTTCCCTGTCTGTGGAAGAGAGACAGTGACGGCCCCCACAGGCCGTGTGAGAGGAGCCTCGGGGCCGCCCGCTGACCCCTTGTCCCCGCTGCGCTCACCCAGCGAGGCCAGCATGTCGTGCAGGTCCTCCTTGTCGATGAAGCCATCGCGGTTCTGGTCGATCATGTTGAAGGCTTCCTTAAACTCCTGGATCTGGGACTGGTCAAACATCGCGAAGACATTGGAAGTGGCCCTCTGCGGCCGCTTCTTGGTGGTCTTGGCCTTGGCCCGTTTGCTGGACATCTTGGCTCTGGGTGGGTAGGCGACTGTACAGGAAGGGCTGGGAGGGAGGGAGGGGGCAAAGGCATGACATAGAAGTCTCCTATCTTCCCCAGACTGGCTCCTGGGCCCCCTTCCCCGCCAGGCTAGGGCACTCCTGCTCTCCAGCTCTGTACCTCCCTGGACAACTTCCTGGACCGGGGGCATGAGTGCCCATAGTGGAGGCTCACACCACCTTGGCGCCTCCTGAGAATTACTTGGTGTGGCACACCCTGGGCCTGGGGGCACCATTTCCACTGTGACACTGCCTGGGGGTAGAACAGCTCTAGGCCTCATGCCAGCCATTTCTACACCATATTTATCTCCTATAATCCTCCTTAGCATTGCCCCCTCCCCCTCCAAGTGATAGGGCTGGCAAGCCTGTGGCAGGCAGCAAGGGCCCCCTCCCACACCCCCAAGGACAGAGCTGGTCCGATGCCTACATCCCAGCCCTGAGCATTCCTAACATTCCCTCCTCCTCCTCCTCTCCCCTGGGGGCCCTCCCTCCCTGGCCTGTCTGACTCTCCAGGTTCTGGGAGGCCCAGCTCTGGGCATGCTTACCACTTCTCCCCTTCACTCCCCAACCCCCACCCCTGCCTGCCCCAGGTAGACCAGCCAGAGCTGCTCCCTGCTCTCCTCCCCCAGCTCCCAGTCAGTGGCTCCCATCCCAGAGACCCAGACTGGAAACTAAGACTTTAAAGTCCCCAGAGCCAGTGTGGGCCCCTCAGACTGCATATGAGCCCCGTTTGCCCCATCTGTGATGGTGACGGCACCCGTCTTTGCCTCTCTGTGGTGTGCAGTCCTACCGATCTGGGCCTCTGTCTGTCCTACACAGGCCCCAGACCTCCCTTCTCTGCCCCTACCCTGGGTACCCTGCCCTCTCAGCCCAGTTTTTGAGGCTCTCCCTCTGGAAGCTGGCCCCTAACCCCTGCTTTGACAAAGGACACTTAAAGGTCAGGGGACCTCTGCAGCCCCATGGGAGCTCGTAGACGTTGGCTTAGTGAAGGACTGTGACGGCCACCTTGGCCAGTCTACTGCTCCTCTGGGCAGGTGGGAAACGGAACCTTCACAGAGGATTCTTTCCCCAAACCTTGTCACAGCTTGTGGGGACTGTGGCCCTGAGGACATGCTGCCCTTTGCCCCTGGTTGAGGCGGTCATGGGCCTGATGCAGCCTGGGCTGCTGCCACCTCCTGCCCTGGTCCTGGGAGCCTTCCACCTGCTTGCGCCTCCTCAGTTGGTTTCTCCCTCCGAACTCGAGGCTGAGTGCAAGTCATTCGCCGGTCTGGTCTTGGAGATTTCCAGATCTGGCCAGCCCTCTTGCCTCCCCAGGGATACACTGCTCGAGCTTGTGGGACTGGCTGCCTGGGCCCCACTGGACCCACAGCCACTTCTCACGTGGATCAGGGAACCTGGGGTGGGGGTGGGCAGTAGCTAGGGTCCTGG